AATAATTTTGTTGAAGAAATTTAATATGAAAAGTTAGTTTTAATTTGAATTAGGTTTATCTCTAGTTTTTTTTCAGGTTGAATGGTATCACGTGGACAATAAATACGATTTAATATCGGAAACATTGGTCATTATTATTTAGGGTTCAAAAATGTTAGCAATCCGTATTAGTGAACCCCCAACTAATAATGACCTAATCTTAACACACCATTAAAAAAACTGTGTGCGCGCGTTATAGTTTACAAGTTGCCATTTAAGCGGATAAAGTCAGACGTTATGGAAACACAATTAGAAAATTGTTGCCTCTCATTACGAATCCTGGTTCCCTCATTTCTTCACAACTTTTCCATTATGAGACAACCTCATTCAAATAATTGATGAATTGATTGAATAAGCGAATCTTGATTATACGGGCTCGCGTTAATTGAATTAATTGATTCTCATCAAGCATTCGACATGTTCTACAATTAAATATTTTATGAAAATATGCTATATTTTACACTCATTCAACCCTCTCTAAAAATGTACATACACTACCTGGACAAGAGTATCGCACAAAATTGTGCGTAATAATTATGTCTCAAATTTTAACTTTTTATACTTCAACCGATGGATTAACTATATAAATCAATATTTAGTAGGCCAGCCATTGCTTGTAATAACTGCTTCTATTCTCCGTGGCATACTTACTATCAAGCTGATTATTTGATTCATCGAATTTTTGCTCCATTCTTCCTGTAAGGCAGTTTCTAATTCTGTAATGTCGGTTCTTATTCTTCTTCCCAGCTCTGACCATAAATGCTCGATTGGAAGGACTTGGCCAATCTGGTAAAACATTGATTTTGTTGTGAGCATCCACTGCTTGTTGTGAAGAATAGAAGCCGACGGTGATGTAGCCTCGCTATAACGACCCCGTTGAACCGGTTCCCTCATTATTGTTATAGCGGGCCAATATGCCAGAACAAAATTTTAATTAGTGATTTTCTCCCGTTTATTATAATAGATGCCTATAACGGTTGCGGATTGATTTGTATTACTTAATATTAATATAGTGAGTCCGCAATAGCGGGGGCCACCAAATCAGCCCAATATCATGTCTACGAAACGCAAGCGTGCCGCGATTTCAGGCACAACAAAACGTGAAATTTGCCAGAAATTTTCAGTACAAAATTCACCTAAACAAAAAGATCTTGCTATTGAGCATAAAATATCTGAACAAGCTGTCTCAGATATTTGGCGACAACGAAATAAATGGCCACATCTACAAGATAATGAGCACCGTGCACAACTGAAGAAGTTATGGAAAGGTGGTTGCAATATGCACTTTCAAGACAAGTAGCATCATTTTTTCAAACCTTCGTCTATACAAACTCTAGTAATAATCCTTAAATATGATTGGTTAAATTTATATAACTGATCACGTGCTAATTTATTAGTAAATTCGTTATAACATGATAACGGATGTTTACTATAACGGACTAATTTTCTTGGCCCGACAAATCCGTTATAGCGAGGCTACACTGTATGTCGCACGGACAGCAGGATAATAGTAATAATAGATTAGAATTAGAAATAATAGCGATGCTAAAAATAGATCAATTAGTAGTCAAGAAAGTATATAAGCAACATAGAATTTACTTAACATCGCTCGTGTTCGCAGTGTTCAAGTTTAATACTTAATTCCTTTACATCGAAGACGTTCGATTTCTTTATTTTTTTTATCAATAAACGAGTATCCATTTACTCTGACATATTAATTCTTTCCCTGAATATTCCGTCATATTTAGAAAATTATTAATCCGCATAACGGCAAAATCGGTCATAATACTTGTCCCGTGATCGATCGAGTGGCATCACGATAGTTAATTATTATTTCTCAACGCGTTACTTTCTTGTTAAGACCCCAACTACAGACTACCGAATTAATCCGCCGGTAGAGAGTAGAATTTGTTTCTCGAGAATAGTTAATTATCTAGGATTAGTGTGCGCGATCAGTATACGAATACGTCAGCACGTAAAAGCCAAAATAAAAAGTCACTAACTGTTTGCTACGTTTTAACTATCGCTGAGGTGAGCCACACTCCTACAACAGCGCAGCTAGATCTCAAACCGAGACAGTAGTTATCCGCTCTCCACGTGACTATTACATCAACACTTCACATCCTTGGCAGTATAGACTGGAGCATTATCATCCTGAAACAGATACTCCTCACCATTAAATTTTTTATCTATCAAAGGCAGTAAATGCTTTTCCGGTATCTGTATATAATCCAATCTACTCATTTTGCCCTCCACCACCGAATTTTACAGTTGGAATCATGTTTGCAATATTAAACCTAGTGCCTGGAGTTTCCCAAACATGGCCTGATCCATCATTGTCAAATATTGTAAATCCACTCACTCCATATGACAGATTTTCATTTTCGAACAGTCCAGTTTCTTTTTGAATGCTCCATCTTAGACGCTGTTCTCTTTGCCGATCACTAAGGAGAGGTTTTTGAGCTGGCACAAAAAATTTTTTTATTTCATGCAAATTTCTTCTAATCGTTTTGGTGGAAACTTCGATATTGGTTTTTTCAATAAATTTCTTTTGATTTGTTCATTATTGTCATTCTTAACAATAGTTTTTACGTTTTTGCATGTCAACAATTTTGGACGTCCAATTCGGGGACAAGTAGCAAGATTGTCTTTGTTAATGTACTTTTTGATAGTACGAGAGACAGTTGTTCTGTGAACTTTGAGAGTTTTACTAATTTGGATATTGGTTGGTTATTCTTGTAAACCAATAATTTCTCCGCGTTTGGCTTTCGGTTAAGTGGTACATTTTAAGAATCAGGGACGCTAGAAAGCGTTGAATGTTTTTATTTATATATTTTTATGTTTGTTTACAAAAACGCAAAAATTACATACGCGTTTGGTCAAAAGTAAGACTATAACAGATTAAAATCAGAGGCATAATTATCATGTAAAATTTTGTGTAATTAATAAATTTTGGGTGTGCGATACTTTTGTCCAGGTAGTGTGTCCGAGTCATTAAGAGGATGACATTTTTTGCAAAACTTCTCTTTTTTCCATGCAAAGTAACTTTCGTACAGTGTCTTATTATTGGCTATTCGTTCGGTATGTTCTATTAGTGCACACAATCTGTTACTTTAATCACACTCATACTCATCGATATCAGACGCTCCCATGTATATAGGAATAGCATCCACCAACAGTGCATCGTACACTTTCTCCGTCACATATTCTTCAATTAGAGTTTTCAAATGCTAGAATAAATTCATACGGGGAGAGAATGTCTCTCTTAATTTCATACATATGTTTTTTCAATGACTTGGACTTGGGCCCTTTTTCAATCCGTATTTCGCCAGTATTTTCGTCGGGAGTATCTTGATTATGCAGACAGGTACCGTACGTACCCATGTACTTTCGTATGTTTCATTAATTCTCGGATATAATCCTCCCGCTTATTCAGTGTATAACAATTAGTAGCCATTCACGCAAATAGTACGTCGTCGCGTTTGTTTCCGAATTTCACATGAGTATCATAAAAGATGTCAATATTCCTAATTTCATACGTCGGCTTGTATACGTCAAACAACCTACCCGGCGTCCCCATATATTGACATATGGATAATATCCCAATTCTTCATCTGGAAAAAGCAGCCACCGTGCCTGGTTTGAGTGTCTGGGCGGCATTTGAGTAACATCAAAGAATGGCACTTTTTCTTCTCCGAGAAAGAAGGGATAATCCATCAACATAATGTCTGCTTCTCGCCAGAGGGTATAATTGGCATGAATATGATATGATTGACCGTTTTTGCAGGTACCTTTGGACGTTGATACCAAAACAAAAAAGGAGCGTATCCAGTCGGCCATTCGCTAACTTTGTTCATTAAAAATTTGTTATACAGCCTCTCAAAAAATGGAACCAACTCTGGCGGATATTGGCACAGGTCTTCCGACATTGTTTGCCAGTCCATTTCTTTCGTCGCCCAAGTTATCTGCCGCCAATAAAATATAGAAAGCTCTCTTCCCGCTGGACCGTACGCTTTGAACGATTTGCGCTTAGTATGGTTATTTTTTGTTAGAGTAGAACATGTTGCAGGAGAATATTCGGAAGAAAAGGGACCGAGTGGTTTTTATAAGAGGGACTGAGGGGTTCTTTATAAGCGGGATCGAGAGATTGAGGTGTTGTTACGAAATGTGTTGCTGACTGGTGTAATAGCAGTAGAATTGCCACGATTGCTATCAACAATAAAAATAGCTTTACAAACGGCCAAGTTACAACGTCGTTGACGCTTACTTTAAGATTGGCCATGCTAACCTGTTTAAACGATATTAATATCAATGCCACCGTTTTTCTAAATCACGAGTGTGATACCGAATTTGTATAGATAATCTTCCATCTGTGTAGCCGTATATGGTAATGAGGACCCTAAAGTTTAATATTGTCATATTCATTACGTTTTATGGTCAAATGTATAACTTGTTATTGTCTTATTATTATGAACTGGGATTCAACCGAATTTCATTGGTACTGACTATACTGGGGGTACGATATCCATAGTGTTACAATAGGGACAGATTTTAACATGCTCAAACCAAGGGTAGTTTGCGAACATTGCTTGGTCGTAATGTCGTACATGGCGAAACTCGAAAGATTTTACAACACAATTACAACTCATCCGTTTGTCAAGGGGCTTTTATTTTTAACAATAACCGTGGTATTTTTATTGTTATTGCGCCAGTCAACAACAAACTCTGTCGTAAACACATGCGGAGAAACTCCTAAAGATTCAACCACAGAAATCTCTCCTCCCAATGACTCATCAATAGAAACCTCTTCTCATGATTCGTCTATAGAAAATCCTTCTAAAGACCCATATGAAGAAGCAATTAAACACTTTTCTCCTTTTGCCTCTGAATATTCTCTTCCGACCTGTTCTAGTTTACCCAAAAATACTCATATCAAACCTAAAACATTCAAAGCGGACGGTCCTCCTGGAAGAGAACTTTCCATATTTTATTGGCGGTATTTGACTTATTTGACTGCAAAAACTACAGATTGGGATAAAATATCACAAGAATTGTGCCCCTATCCGCCAGAATTGGTTCCGTTCTTTAAAACATTGTATAACCAATTCGTAGCGAGTTACACACCCAAAGTCTATGAATGGCCAGTTGGGTATGCTCCGTGTTTATTTTGGTATTCTCATAAAGGAGACCAAAGAGCTACATGCAAAAACGGTCAATCGTATCGTGTTCATTCCAATTATACCCTCTGGCGGGAAACTGACGTTATTTACATGAATTATCCTTTCTTTTTCAAAGAAGAAAAAGCACCATTTTTCCATACTACTCACATGCCACCTAGACGTTCAAATCAGGCGTGGTGGATGTATTTCTCTGATGAAGGATTGGAATACTATTCGTTCGTTGGTTTAGACACCTTGAGAAATATGTTTGATTTGACGATGGGTGCACCCGGCAATATCTTTGATATACTTAAGCCGACTTATCCAATTAATGATACCAGTTTATTTTATGACACACATGTGAAATTCGGAAACAAACGCGACGACGTGCTATTTGCGTGGATGGCTGGAAACTGTAAGTCAGCAAATAAGCGGGAGGATTATGTCCTGGAACTAATGAACTATGTGACAGTGCATTCATACGGTGACTGTCTGCACAATCAAGATACTCCGGACGAGATACTGAAGAAATACGGGCTGGAAAAGGGAAAAGCGCCAGCTTATTGGGCAGACAATATGTATGAAGTTAAGAGAGACATTCTCTCTCCGTATAAGTTTATTCTTGCATTTGAAAACTCTAATTGTGAAGGATATGTGACGGAGAAAGTGTACGATGCACTGTTGGTGGATGCTATTCCTATATACATGGGAGCGTCAGACATCGATGATTATGTACCGCCTGGGAGTGTGATTAAAGTAACAGATTATGGAAGCATGCGTGCACTAATAGGACATACGAAACAGATAGCCAATAATAAGACACTATACGAAAGTTACTTTGCGTGGAAAAGAGACAAAACACACAAGAATTTTTGCAAAAAATGTCATCCTCTTAATGACTCGGACATATGTACATTTTTAGAGAGGGTTGAATGGGTGTAAAATAATGCAGACCAGCTTACAATAAAATAACAGACGTTTATCATTAAGTAATTGGCACAAATATGATAATAAATGCTACTTTATGTGAGACTAACATTATAATATATAAGGAAGCATGATTTATTTGATATAAACATTAGCA